TGTGATCGTGTTTGGCAACAACGGATATAATCCGCCTTATCGGTTCATCGCATCGGAAACAAAAAAGCGAAAGAATTTGAAACCCTTATCACGATGTTTTTACTACAATTTTATTCAGTTGTATTCAGACAATGTGTCAGTCGGTAACGCGAGAGTGAATAGTTTTGTTTGTTGAGTGGCTCAAACGAAATAAAAAATGGCACATGTTTACGAAAATCCTGAACTTGTGGACATGATTCTTATTTACAGGGGGGGGGGGGTGCGAGTCTTTACAAAATGCTGCCGCGGCATCACAGATTTATGCGGATCGGTTTTCCAATCGAGTGCAACCAACCTCGCAGGGGAGGGCATGCCGGTGCTCCAAGACCGCACGATCAAATACAGGTCCGCACTGAAATACTTGTCGGGAGGATACCTTATAAAACAAGGTAAACATTTTTTTTAATTTTTACACACATGTTTTGGTTTATCTTCTTTCTACAATCATTATCTGAAAATTAATGACTCAGCTTGAAAGTCACCCTGTATGGTATAAAAATATCTGGAATCAAAGTACAAAATATAACAGGTATGCATACAAAGATATGAAATATAATTAGCATTGAAACACTTTTGTGAAGTGAGAGGCAAATTTGAGCAAATCATGAAGTCTCCAAAATACGTTTTTGACACGTCCTTTAAATTCATGATATGTAAATAGTTTTAAGGTGTGTGGAATTTCATTGTAATGAATAACTGCGTTTTATGTGCAGCAATTACGGAAGAATGATGTCTTGTGAAGAGGCATTGTAAGAGTCTCCGTGAAACGAATGTTCCTTGACTGAATATTATTATATTCTAGATATGTTTACTTTTCAGAAACGGAGGTACGGATGTGAGTAATAGTTTATAGGTATAACAAATTAAGTGTAATTCATGTAGATCTTTAATCCTCAACTAGTCCATACCTTTTATAAAAGAGCTATGTGATCATACTTCCTGAAGTGACCAATCTGCAACAAGAATTTTGAATTTTTGAAGAGGTGCAAGGAATGTTACATCTAAGTGGTAGGTAAACTAGGGGGTCTACCAATAAGAATTATATATGTTCATATTGCTGAAAAATAAAAACGAAAAGATAAATGTCTATAATTGATGTTTTATCTTGTAGTATATTACGTAACATTATGTTTCGAATAAGATATCAGCAATGCTAGGCAGCAGCAGGGGCCGCAGTAGTAGACTTTTCGGTCTCCTGATCAGTCGCCGTGCGCTGCGCAGGATCGAATCCAGAGAAATTTTTCTCTTGGCTATAGATGTTGTGATTGTCCGTTGGTGGTAGACGGTCTCTGACTGTCGCACGCAGAGGTGCCACCCTGCGGATCTCGTAGGCGGGACCAGAATGTTTGCATGTTGCATGCACACGTATCCCCTGTATCCCCTATAGCCGCACGGTACCCCATGGGTATTTAGGCCATAGGCCTTCGTGGTGGTTGGAGCATAAAAGGAAAGGTCCCTTGTGCTAAATAGAATATAGTGTTATTAGATCACTTTTGTCGGATTTCCAGTAATTTTGCAACGTTATAAAGAATAGTAAAAAATGAATGGAGCAGGTTATTGGATTATTTGGAAATTACCCTAAATTGTATGACCTTTAACATGCAGTCTATAAAAATGTTCGCAAGAAGGATAAGGTTTGGACTAAAATAGGAGAAGAAGTGGGCGAAAATATGTGAAATTGAAACTCATTACATTATTTATTTAAGAAAATAATAGTCACGTATTATAGTCAACATTGTAAAGATATCATAAATCTAACAATATACGCAGGGTCATTTATATTGTTTTAATGATAAGACAAGTATTTATTAGCATCGTAAATAGATTTTTTTTTTGTTTTTGTTGTTTAGCACTAGCATTCAATCTTTTTGATGAAGAAAATACAACGTAAATGATGCGATTATATTTGCTTTGGTGTGAGGCTTCGCTACGGATTCTCCGTCACGAATCCGCTGCAAATAATTTGCATTGGTCTGGGAGAGCCCTCTTTCCTTCATCTGTCATCCTACGGGATAAAGATCAACTTGCCAGATCACTGGCACATGGAGACAGCAAGACTGTTCGCCTACCTCCGCACACGCTAATTGAGTTTTAATACTACTGGTTGGTGCTCGCCATCCTAATGCTGCGAAGTGCAACGTCAACCTACTCCACTCCTATTATTCGGTACTATTTTCTGCTGTATTGCACCTTCAATACCGGTTATCGCAGGATTGCAGGATTTCCGCGGTTCGACAAAATCTGCGCGCTAAGCAGGCGTTCTCACCTCCCAGCTTGTGGAAATCATATTGAAGATCCTTGTAAGCCGTTGATCCGGAGTCTCTGAAAACCGAAGCGCGAAGGTGGAAAAAGCCCCCTACCGGATATAGAAACATTTGTGCCAACCGCACGCTTCCGGAAAATTTTAAGGGGATTTGCTACGACAAAGTGTTTTTCAATCGAATCGAATTTCGTGTTCGGAAACATTGGAATTCTATTGCTCTTCGTTTACGAATAGCTTGTATTTCGCTTCTCAAGTACGGGCGACCCAACTAACAATTATCACTCCTATTATAGTTGCAAGAATGATTATACAGTATTCCTTAAACAGCATTGTATACTGTAAGAACATTGGCGAAACCCTCATAGAATAGCTATATACAAGCGGAATGGGCACACCTAATAGGACACTTCAGTCATTTAAGAGGTTAGATAAGGGCTGCAGGTAACAGTTATAAAACAAAAGTGTAAGCCTCTTGCAGCCGCTATAGGACATTTGCGTCAGTTCAAGATTCAGTTTTTGTCAACCATACAACTATTCTGTTACCTGATTCTACTTTACACATTACAGTCATCTTGTTTATTTACATATCGGCCATTGTGAATTTCATACACAGGTATATGATAAACTTCTACACTGTGATATAGGGATATTGAATTACTTGCGCAACAAATTTTATTGTGATTATCGTGCAAATTAGTTACCCAATTTCTACGGGCTTCGTATTTGATTCATATTTTGACAATGATCAAAAGTATGTCTAGATTTTTAAGATGGAAAACTGAACTTATCTGCGTTAAATCTTCCACAAATCATATATTTAGACACAATTACACTAATGTCTATCACTTCGTATCTGTAATTTCGAACTGAAACATAATTATTTAATATTAAATAGAGGAATAAATGTTTGCCCAATATGGCGGGTGGTTGTGTACAATCATGGCAGCGTCCTGTTGTCTTTAGGTTATTAGAATATTTTGGTGTTGCCTGCAGGTGTAATACAACAATTTGACAAATGTCTGAAATGAAATACCGACAGAGTCGAATGATTTACCCAGAATTTGTACCAGATCTATATCTTCTGTTTGAACCAATATGCATGCGTTGTTTGTCTTAAAATATTGGTTATGGCATTTTAACAAAAATATGACAGCAGAAAGTTAGGTTATGGTGAAGTTGTTTACCAACATATTTAGCATATGTACAACCGTTAACAGTTACTAAACAACAGTTGTATAAGTGCTTCCGTTGGGAGTAATTTGTTGGCTAAGGTAGTAAATTGCACAGCAAAACAACAAGGCTCGGGTTTGTTTTATAAACGTTACCATGGATGCCACAACACAACCATTTTGACTTGCAAATATGCCGTATAAAATAGTTGTATAAACGTTTATGCAACAGTTAAAAATTTGCCCTATAAGGTGTTGTAAAACTATGCTATCAGAATATTTTAAACACGTCATTTTAGAGCAAATATGTTGCAGAAAGCAAATTTGCATTCCACACAACATTAAGCCAGTATTTTGGTGTTCAGGGAACAACAATAGAGAGCTTTTATGGCTGAACGGTTCTTTTACGAAAAGCTTATACCACTACTTTGCTAGTTGGGGAGTAAACCAAATGGTGTCAGGTAGGTTGCCTCTACACTTTCCACACATTTCAGACATAGCAGAGGAATATCTAGATCGCATTTAGTTGTTTGTCTTCTCAGTAGCGGGCTGTATACAGGTCTCAATACCATTCGATGATTAAATTTTGATGTGCGGGTGGTATGTGGTGTCTATGAACCCAAAATGATTCGACGAGCTCAGCAATCGACCATAAGCCGAAACAGGAGATAGTTCAAGTCATGGTCGCTATTCAGAAAAACATAAAAAAATCATGTACTTTTCAAAGTGTAGGCTTTCAAAGAAATTAGAAAAATCAGAAAAGCCTACATCCTGTGATCATCTTTTAGATCAATTTCTATTTTTGCTTACACGAAGTGATAGACAGTATCATTCTTCGTGTTGTTCGTAAATAACTATTTTCCACTTATATTCATGAATTACTGATGCAAGTGGTCCAAAGAAAGCTGCATGGTGATAGAAATACCTCCGAAAAAATACATTACATAGTGTGTGTGTGTGCTTTATTATACAGGGTGGCGCATCGAAAACGAAACAGACTCATTTACTGGCAGCTCAGTTTTTTTTTTGGAAAAACGCTTAGACCCGTCGATTTTGTTTTCGAGGGGGACACAAGTTTGGCAAAAAATCACGTTAACACGTGTAGCCACCTGAGTGGGGATGACACCAACCCTAAAATCTTAAATGGAAAGGGGGGTCGACTGACCTTATTTTAAAGGTCTTTCAATTCCCTCTATAGTGATGTAAAATACATGAGCTTCAGTTCAGTAGTTTTGAAGATTTATTGATTTAAAGCTTAAAGTAGACTTTAATAGGTACATCAGATTAGTTTGAACTACTTTCAGAAGAAATTTGACTAAAAGAATTTACTTAATAAGTAAATGCTTTTCTTGACTACGCCCATGGTTTGTTTATCATTTTGTTGTTGAAAATAGATTTTAGGGTTGGTGTCACCCCCGCCCAGGGGGCTGCACGTGTTAACGTGATTTTTTGCCAAGCTTGTGTCCCCCTCGAAAACAAAATCGACGGGTCTGAGCGTTTTTCCAAAAAAAAAACTGAGCTGCCAGTTAATGCGTCTGTTTCGTTTTCGATGCGCCACCCTGTATAAAAGCACAACTATAATCCCACCAAAAACTTTGTTTTTTCACTAGTTGCTTGAAAGTTACTCTTTACAACATACATAGAAGAATTTCTTGTTAAATCGATCAGAATAAGCTCTATATCTACTTTTTTGTTTGTTTTAGCGGAAATGCTTAAAAGTGAAACTGAAATAATTCCAAGATTCAAAGTTCCATTGCGCTTTTATTTTTTGCACGAGGAAGTTCTTAAAAACAATTCTCGAACAGCTTGACAAAGACCAGTGGTGTTCCTTCAGGGCACATACTGAGACAGGAAAACCTCGCAGAAGATTGTTTCTATGATATCTCGATCTAATTTATTCTACGGATCAGGCCATGCTTCCCTTAGTTTTATCACCTACAACCTAAAGGCACATCAGACTCCTACAAGATTCGTAGCAGACAAGTAACCCTGTATAGAACTTTCAGATCCAAGCTTCAATCCTCGTTCCTAGCAACAATCCATTTAAGTATCGTGCTCGATACGGCTAGGTGAGAAATTTCAATTTTATCATTCTTGTTTTATTGATAGGTCCATATAGACGGATAGCCCGGGACTGCGATCGTATTTCCTGCATTTCAGGGCAGTTAAAGAATAAATGCATTGGGTGTGTATCAGGAGACTTGGTGAAACAGGAACGGATCTACCAGGAAGAATACAAAATGTTATGGCTCTTAAAAAACCATCTGGTGTAGGAGCTAGAGAGCCCACAGGTATACAGGGTTACCGGTTAATAGTTGTAGTCCTTCCAGATCGCAATAGGGGATGAAAAATGCAACGAATTTCACCCTATGTCGAAGGTGTCGCACAAAGAACTGCAGCAATAAAAATTTGATGATGATGATTATGGGTATGGTTCGATAGCTATATAATTTTTACTCGCTTACGTATAGTAGTAATAGGCAAGGACATAGCCGGAAAACAAAGTGACTTTTTTACGCATCGAAAAGTAGCATGTAATCGAGCAATTTTAAAAAATCTAAACTTTCGAAAAAAGACGCTATCTTTGAGTCCGATGTCCGGGCTTTTTCACGCAAAAATCGTCAGGTTCGTAGCTCCTTTATCTTCGGAGGAAATCGAAAGTGAACGTCGAACAGCACGAAAATCTACCATTTTTTCGACTTTACCCGTCGTTCTCGATCGCGTTTCTTCCTCCTACCGCGACGGCTCTCGCTCCTCCGTAAAGCGCCGAGTTTCTAGTTTCCGAAACGGTGTCGTTTTCCTTCCGAACGTTTCGCGAACTCGGAAAAAACCGGAAAAATCGGAAAGTAGTGCGTAGTCGAGGAATTCAAAAAAATCGAAATTTTCGAACGAAAAGAGATAAAGAAAAAAAAAGACGCTATCTTTGAGTCCGACGTCCGGGCTTTCTCAAGCAAAAATCGTCAGGTTAGTCAATAAGGGTGATCAGGTGCTTCGCTGCTAAACAATCACAGTTTTTGATCTTCAACGTCATCCATTTCACTTCCAATGTATGATCCTTGGAACCGCTTCTTGGAGCTATGCTTCTTTCAACATGTCGCATCTTTTATCATACCTAGGTTACTCTTATGTGGCGGAATCTGAAATAACTAGCGTATAACTCAACTAAAGTTTTGAGGATATTCCTGTAATAGGAGCGTGATCTATCTACTCCATGATTGAGATCATCTTCTTCAATAGGTCGTACGTGGTTTTATCAACTGCCTTTTTATTATTAATCTATCCTATGTGCCCAGGTTCTGTAAGACTTTATGCTGAAAAGTAATCCATCTGACTATGTCTTAGATCAGTTGCTGTAAATCGCTGCACATCGTTCGCTATGGGCTGAATCTCAGCCTGAGAATAGTATGGAGTTACAGGCTGTTAGGCTGTTAGAACGAGTAACCAGTACTGGCACCTTGCTTTTGGATGTCTCAAAAGCGTTTGACAGGGTGTGGATTGCAGTCCTGCTCTACGAACTAATCCAAGAGGGCTTCCCTTTTTGATAGGCAGCTTAGGGTCAGAATTGACTACATTCTGTCGACAAGAATGTCCATCAGAGGCAGTGTCCTTCAGCGTTCGATCCTTGGACCAATTCTTTACTCACTGTACACCCGTGATGCCCCTAGCCCCAACAACTGTGGAGTTTATCTCTATGCTGACGATACTGCATTGGTAGCTCAGTCGCGGTCTGATGACCTAGTGCGGTGGAACAGGTATTAGAGTGGGGAGATGGGTGGCTGATTAAAATTAATCACTCAAAAGTGCAGGTAATTTGTTGTACAAAAAAACGCCGTGGCGGCCCATCAGTATCTCGGTGTGATTCTGGACAAATGGGTTAAAGCGTTAAAAGTTAAATTCAAACTTACGTTTCGGCAGCTTCACCCATTATTATGTAAACGTAGAAAATTAAGTTTGACTAACAAGATTCGGCTATGGCGGTAATACGCTTGTGTCAAAACTCACATTCGAAATCTGCAGGTTCTGCAAGGCACTATTACTGACGCATTATGGTACGTCTCTAACGAAACCCTTCACAGAGGCCTCGATATCGCTTACCCAAGGAACTACGTTAAGCAAGGCCGCCGCTCACTCTGTTATAAAAATCACTCGTGAACTTAGAACAAAATTTCAGCACATTTAAAAATAAAATATTTTAGGCCCATATCAAAATTTATCTAGTAATTTTAACAATGCCAAAATGCTGCTTGTCGTGAAGGATTCTCTTCTTCCTCTTTGCCTTTTCGTTTCTTCTCTTTTTCTTCCCTTTTTTCATTAAGGTTATCTGGTTTTAAGGTTACTAGACCTGACAAACTTACAAAGTGACACTATGACATAAGCGCTACGGTCCTAGGACCGCTAAATTGTACACAGTGCTAACTTGTAGCAAGGTGCAACTCTGTATCCCAGAGCCAGACTGGGTTAGGTCAATTTTTGTCAAAAATCAGTTCAATGTGCTTATGATTATATCGTGAATTCTCATTTGCTGCTGGAAGCGTCCCTCTATCTGTAATAACAAGGAAGTTACGACTTTTTAACTCCTGTCTAGTCGCACACAATACAATACATACAAGAAAAATATTTCAAATTCAATTATCTCAAAACTACTTATTTGGACTTGACCTAGTCTGGCTCTGAGGTACAGAACGTAACAACATCTCCACTTGCATCTCTGCCTTGAGCAGAAGCTCCGGAATCCAGATTGCCAATCCGTCTTGAAGAAGGTCATACTTCAACGCCAACCCTGTATTGAAACATCGAGCGTACTGAATAATACAAAGGTAGTCGATGCATTTAGGGACCGTTAACTTTGTTAGACGTGCTGTTTTCGTAATGGGAGCACTATCGGCCTGCCTGTAGGTTGTGATCTGCAAAAATAGTATCGATTTGCTAGGCCAAAGGGAAGACGTGCATAGTGAAAAATGGATTGCCGTCTATACGGGATTTTTGTCTAATGCAATGGCTTGTGCAAGCATCGCATTTTCTTCCCATAGGATATTCAAAATAAAACTTCTCTATCTAAGGGTTTCCAGGCAGCTGTTTGGAACACAACAAGATAATGATTGATGATTTAATTTGCATTTTTGTTTTCGTTTATGTCCAGAACGTTGATTTCGAATTCAGTAACTTTGCATTATGATTTTCAAAATCGCTCGAGTAGATTTGAGTAATCCGAACTTTGTTTTGCGTCTCTATTACCACAACCAACCGCATATAACGTTGGCTTATGCTTATTACCAATCATCAGTACAATATAGTCGTTAAAAGCAGACAAACGGAAAACATACAAGTGGATGTGATCTTTGGAAATACTCAAACGCCACCTGGAAAATGTTTCCAAAGCTTGACAGATCATAGCGTCTAAAAAGGAAGATAGACCCGTACTCCTCTGGTTTGCACTGAAAAAAAAGAGAACATTTTCGCGCCATAATTTATTACACTTTTCAAAGACAATTATCGCAACAAGAATGCCTTGCTGAGTTACTGACTGTTTTCGGCAACGAAGCGCCACATCTGTCGACAATTTCCCGTTGGTATGGAGAATTCAAACGTGGACGGGTGAGTCTTAGCGACGATCCCAGGGTGGGTGCACCAAAAACGGCAGTCACCCAGGAAAACCTCGATGCTGTGCGCAAACTCATAATTGAAGATAGACATGTGACATATCGCGAGATTGAGGCGTCCTTGATGATCTCAAAGACCTCAATTCAAAAAAATCTACATGAAGAATTAGGTTTAAGAAAATTAGTTTCTCGTTGGATACCCCACCTGTTGACTGAAAAGCAGAAAGCAGCCAGGGTTAACTGGTGTCAAAAGAACGCTTGACTGTTTCAATTCCGGAAACTCAAAAAATATGTATACAGCATTGTTAGTGATGATGAATCGTGGATTTACTGTTGTGAACCAGAAAATAAACGACAGTCGGCTGTTTGGGTGTTCCAAGGTGAACAATAGCTAACGAAAGTCATCCATTCTCGAAGTGTTTCGAAAAAGATGGTCGCGACATTTGTGTCAAAAGCGGGTCATATTGCAACAATTCCTCTTAATGACCAAAGAACTGTTACTGTGGATTGGTATACCACCATTTGTTTGCCAAAAGTCATCACCGAGCTTCGAAAAATCAACCCCGAAAGAAGAATCATCCTCCACCAAGACAATGAAAGCTCGCACACAGCCCAAAAGACAAGGCAGTATTTAACGGATGAAAATGTGGAATTATTGGACCATCCTCCATATAGTCCCGATCTAAGTCGTAACGATTTCTTTGCTTTCCCGAAAATTGAAAACAGACTGCGTGGTCAAAGGTTCGAGTCACCAGAGGAAGCAGTTGACTCATTCAAAAATGCCGTTTTGTATGTGCCAGCAAACGAGTGGAATAAGTGCTTCGAAAATTGGTTCGAGCGCATGCAGATGGGGATTAATCTTCGTGGAGAATACTTCGAAAAACAATCAAGTCATTTAAAACTACCTACCGTGTTGTTTTATTTCCATATGCAAAACTTAAAAGACTCGGAAAACCACTGTTGAAATTCTCCGGCCGTGTAAAAGACCTCCGAGTGCTCTTTGATGAACAATTTAGGTTCCGAGATAACGTCACTCTTATTAAAAAAAAAATAATATGGAAGGCCAGTTATTTCCAAAATTCTGTATTGTATGCCATTATCATATCCTTCACTAGGTCAATATACACCACAAAACGTTTGCAACAAATCCAAAATTATAGTTGACGTCTGATGAACAATCTAACAAGGTATGATCAGACACATCAGGCCACGTCATTGCTATGAGCTGGCTAAGTGTTAAAGGCTTGTTCAAATACGTTGTGCTTACAATTGTACATAAAACAGTGCTCAACAAGAAATCTCTATACTTGTACAGAAAATTCATTCCTCGTCATAACAGAATCATTCGTTTTCCAGATCTTTCAATTTCAATGCAATCTCCTTATATAATCCTCTACCAAATGACCTGAAAAATATGGTTCTGAAGAAGTGTAGACTGAAGTTGGAGTTGCGTCTCCTGCATGTGTATAATTTAACTTAGTAGACGCCATTTTATCAAACAAAAATTGCTGTTCTCTGCTAAAGGCTGAATTTCTGCGAAATAAAAAGGTATGATCAGACACCTCAAATATAAGCAAAAATCGCTATTTGTGCATCTTTAGGTTAGGATGATATCTTGAAAACACTAACCCAGAGATTTGGATCACGGATTCTGATTCATCGCATCAAGAACCTTCGAGAAACTATACTTTTTACTATTTCTGGGCCATGGGGCTGGCCCACTTTCGTTGGCCTATATAATTCTTACAGTTACCTGTCGCCACTGATAATTTCTCAACAAAATGCACGTATCACATCCCCTAAGAAGTATCTGACTATTTCCTTAGCATTTCACCGAAAAGTGCAAATGTGACCTGATCGCCTCGCAGTGTCACCGCGTTTTACATAGTGCTACTAAATCTCCCTCTGCACTAGTCTAGTGCAATTCCCTTGAAAGATAAATCTGTCTGCAAAGCACAGCGTCTTCCTGGGCAGTTTTATGCACATTGCAACAAGACGTAAATCAGAGTGTGCGGCTTTCCGCGCTAAAGGATAACGCGGCTCACAGGATCTGCTCCGACTATGCTAAAAGCGACATTCAAAGGACGGGGTTCTACATGTCGCATCGAGAATATGCGCTACGTTGCCTCTACCACCACTAAACGGAGAGAGAGGTGTGTTCCGTTATAATCCCGATAATGGATCCTACCCATCACCTAGTTATAATAATAATAATAATAACGCCTTTATTTGTTGTACAGGTGAGGGACAAAGATAGCGAAGTTTAGCCTAGGCTACTCTTACACTTAACTATCTTTGTCAGTACATTCAGAGCACGATGTAATGTACGTTGCCTAAGATGTTATAAAAAAAAATTATAGTTATAACTAAACTATACTGTAAACTAAAATACAAAACTATATACAGTATGTACATGGATACATATATACACATATATATATAATACACACATGTATATATACATACACACATACATACATATACACACACCCATATACATACATGTATATACACCCATACACACCTATAATATTTAGATACATATATACGTAAGAAAAGATACTGCACCAAGGGTAAATACAAATTGCTTTATTTGTTTACGGAAATTGACAGGAGACATTTCCTTGTATTTACCTGGTAAAGCATTGTAAAGTATGGCAGCATTATACGAAAAACAACGCTTAAAAAGTGTCATAGAGTGATGCGGTATTCTGATTATTTTACAGTCTCTTATGCTCCTGCTATGAACTTCATGACTAAATACAATCTTACCTCTCAAATAAGCGGGCCTTGACGTAGCTATCAACTTGTGCAAAAATTATTAAGTACTTGTACTCAACTGGCTTGCCAATTTTTAGCCATTTCATACGATGGTACTTATCGCTAACATGGTCAAATTTTCTCAGCCCATGGATAAAACGGATGCAATTATTTTGAACAATTTGCAGCCGGTTCTTCATGAACTGGTCGAGACATGTTCTCACACAATTTTTTCCTTAATTTATAATTTAGAAGATGGCGATTAGCAAACAATGCTCTCATTCTGGCATATTTCTTTTTAGTTAGTGACATAGCATGGCCCATAAACCTTAATTTGCTGTCTACTTCAACCCCTAAAATCTTAGCAGAATGTGTTAGTTCTAACAGTGGACCATTTAGATGGACTTCAAATGAATTTTCCAAGTATCTTCTCTTTGCTTCTGAGCAAAATAGTAATTTTTGCGTTTTATCTCGATTTATTGTTAGATTGTGGTCACTTGAATATTTTTGCACTTTGCCCAGATCCTGCTCTAATAGAACAGCAGCATCTTGCGAAGAAGAGATGTCAAAATAGTGTATAAGTTGAGTGTCATCAGCAAAAGTTTGTAAATCAGAATGTGCGACAGATTTGTGCAAATCAAAAGTGTATATCAAAAACAATACTGGACCTAGTATGGAACCCTGAGGGACGCCCGATGGTATTTCGCTGACTCCAGACCGCCTGTTGCCTACAGAGACACACTGCGTACGCTGCTGAAGATAGTTTTTAAAAAACTGAACACTCAGATTATCAAGTCCAATATAATGTAATTTGGAAAGCAAGAGTTGATGATTGATCTTATCGAAAGCTTTAGAGTAACCTATTGAGACTAGAGATATAGCCATCTTTTTGTCCCTAGCTCGGACCACATAATCGCACAGATTCAGTAGCGCAGAGATTGTACTGTGCTGCTTTCTAAATCCTGATTGATTAAGAGAAATAATATCATTGTCTTCAACATACAATTATATTTGAAACTGCACCGCTTAGGCAATAAACTTATAGAGCTAAGATGCGTGACATCAGTTGGCTTAGGAATTTTAGGTGTTGGTAAAATTAATGCATTCTTCCATTCTTTGGGAAATACCCCTTTCTCAATACAAATATTCACTATGTGCAATATATGATAGAATATTATCGGTAAACTAATGTTAATCATCGTTATTGACAAAGTATCAAGGCCTTTTGCATCTGATTTTAAATTATTTATAATGTCAAAAATCTCCTGGGGACTTAGAATTTTCAAGGAAAAAGATTTTGTGGGATTCAACCTATTGTTTTTATAAAATCTGCATGTATCTTCCGGTACACTGTCAGCACTATAAACAGACATAAAGTAGTTGTTTATAGTATCCACGTCATTTATGTTTTCTGCCAGGGAAGGTTTACTGCGAGATTTTGTACTAAAATTCTTTAATCCTGACCAAATTTTGCTTGAATGATTTTGCTCGGAAATTTCTCCCAGATAAGCTTTTTTTGCTTTCCGGATATCTATAAGAACTTTGTTTCTGAGGCGTCGATAGCTTTCAAAATTATTTGAAGTTCTATTTAGTCTATATCTCGCTAATGAATCATCTTTGTCTGTCATGGCCTTTTTGAGTTCATTATTCAGCCAAGGTGCTGGAGGTTTAGATACACGAAGAGTCCTAAGTGGGGCATGCTTAGTTATGTGTCGTTGTTCCAAAGATATCAGATAAAACAATCTTCAATCCCCTTTAACAAGGTATGGCACACAGGCCTCCTTTATAAGCTCAATGAAAAGTGTTTCACCTTTAGGCTATTAAGGCTACTGAAACCATTCCTAGAAGAAAGGAAGTTCAGGAGCAAAATTGACAACGTGGCAGTTCCGCAGGGATCTGGCTTGGGGGAACTCTTATACTCGATTTCCATTTACGATGACTCCCATTCCAGCGACTGTGAAGTCCGCCTCAATGCTGACGACGACACCGCGTTAGTACCCTAGTCATATTACTATAGTCAAAATCACGAAAGATGACGATTACGTCATCATTTTAGTCTGTAGTAAAGACATACGATAGCGATTTGTGAATATATTTAATAAAGTTTCTGATATGTTAGACAGAGGCAAACAAAATTTTATTGTCTAAACAAACTGTATTGCTAATTTGCATGTATCCGACAAAGATAGAAGATGTTTTCATGTTGTATGATCGATCATATTTGAAAGATGAATAGTTAGGTTATGTTAAAGCAGGTTATGTTGTTTTCGAGTAATACTTGGTGTTCCTGTCATAAGGTACTCTACTCATAAATGTTTTTTTCAAAACAAAAACTCCCCACTAAAATTATTAACAAGATATCACTCAAAACCATGAAATAAAATGAAAATAAAAATAATCAGTGGACTAACCTAACTTCGCAAAATCATAATATAAATTTGTTGTCATTATGTTTCTGACTCGTGATTTTATCATCGACTTACGTCCATTGATTACTTCAGTACAATTTATGGTATGACGTAACAGTCATCTTTCGTGATTTTGACTATATAAGATGTAATTGAAGAAAAACTAAATGGTAGCTGCTTTCAAAAAGGATTCCACCTAACGATAAGTGAAAAAAAACTTAAATCAGTACTCTTGATATTGATGCAAGATGAGCAAAAAATGTATATATCAAAAAGTTTAACTAAACATGTTTTGAATGACGTCTTATCGTACCACCTAGAGTCCACATATGACTGATTTACAGTACGTAATTCTAGTTAAGCGGTCAAGTAATCATGGGGTCCGAACACTACACAGGTTCGTATGGCTTGGTCTTCTTCCATCGTTGTACTTGTCCAGTGGTTGTAAAGCTTCATGACTTGGATTCTGATCTTGATCTCGCTGATTGATTATATCGATGGGTACTGACGAAGTCCATCAGAGCTTTGTGTTGGATAATGTGAACGTAAACAAAAAATATCTATTTAAAAATCAGTTCCTATGGCCCGTATGGTCAGTCGCTCCTACAGTTGTAGGACGCCTTCATGGCCTCCTTGATTTCATAGTCTTTTCTCTCCTTCAAAAGGTTGGTTATGTTCTTAGATTTCTAAAATTCCGTTTCAGCGCTCTCCCATTCTGAGGT